TCCATTACAATTGCTTTTGACTTCTTTTCTATCGTTTTTTGTTTTGTAAGTGTATTATGCTTTATTAGTATTTATTCACCCAACATGAAATTCAATTTTGGATTTGTTGGCTTCCATTATTATTGAATAAATATTAATTCCACCTTTCATGTTATTGACACAAATCACCAACAGTCTTCGGTAGCTTCCAGGTATCTTTGAAGGCCGATTGCTGTAGTTTTGTAAACCAGTTCTAGTTGAACTAATCCTCTACCTCCTTCGGATCTGGACGCATACAGACGATCAACATCAGCTTTAGAATGATGCATCCTGTGGTAAGTGAGAACCTTTCTCGTTTTGACCTTCATTCGCTTAATTTCAGCGAGAGAGCGACTGCAGACGAGATGCCAGATAAGGGCCAGTTACATTGCATATCTGTCTCTGGATTTTATCAAGGATCCTTGAGACAAACAGCAGGGGCCCAAGACCATATATGGCAGTAATGCCCCAAGCACGACCGAATGGTTGATTTGTAAGTTTGCAGGATCGACTCCAGCGTGAAAGATTTCCTGGCGCTTCACAGATAGCCAACTTTCCTAACTGTGGACGAAGCTGTTGACTCAGTATATTCGTTGCATCATGTCAGCAGTCAATTGGAGACCGAGCAGTCGCAAAGAGGTACTCACGTCGAGTTGAGCGTCAGACATTCTAATGGGGAGGGGCAGGGATGATTCTCTGTGGTGAGTAATAGAGAGCAGTTTTGTTTTTGAGGCATTAAAGTTAAAGAATCTAGTGAGTTCAATCTTAATTGGACGCCCCCTACTTTCGACCTTGTGCTACATCTAAGCTAAGCTTGAAAAATCACTGTTCTACAGAATCTACTAAATGTAAATCTCGTTTGTATCAGGTCATGCCATAGGTTCTGTCCGAATTTTAACTTTTTGTTAAAATGAACGAAATTTAAAGAGTATTTTATAATGTCTAATGGAACTGAACATTATTTTTATGTTTAGATGCATTTAAACTAATCAAATTTTATTTCAGAGAACAATAAAATTAAATTTTGTTTGATTAAAACCCTGCTAACATGGAAGTACCCAAGAATCATTTGAGGCACATAATGCTTTATGAGTTCAAGAAAGGAAACTCAGCAGCCGAAGCGGCTAGAAACATTCACTCAGTTTATGGAGAGGAATTTGTGAATGAAAGAACCTGCAGAAGATGGTTTGCAAAATTCAGAGGTGGAGATTTCACCCTTGAAGATGAAGATTGAACCGGACGTCCAGTTGAGTTTGATGAAAATCTTCTTGAAGCAGCCCTTGAAGAAAATCCTGCTTTATCAGTTGAGGAATTGGCAGTGGTTCTCAGTTCAAACCATACAACTGTTCATCGTCATCTTCAACTACTTGAAAAAATTCCTAAACTTGGAAAATGGGTGCCTCCTGAATTGTCTGAAAACAACCTCAAATCCCGAGTTGACATCTGCTCTTCTCTCCATTCTCGCCAACTTATTTCACCTTTTTTGGATAGACTTGTGACTGGCGACGAAAAATGGATCTTTTTTCGAAATGTTAAGCGTCGTAGACAGTGGCTTCGTAAAGGGGAAGGACCCCAGCCACAGCCGAGAAGGGAACTTCATTGGCTAAAGGTTCTTCTTTTAATCTGGTGGGATCGCCAAGGAATAATCTACTTTGAATTCTTACCACCTAATGTAACAATTAATGCTCAAATATACTGTCAGCAATTAGAGCGTTTGAACCAATCTTTGGGGAAAAAAGACCTGCTCTAGTGAATCGAAAAGAGGTGATGTTTCATCAGGACAATGCGCGACCCCACAAAGCAAGAATTACATCACAAAAGATCGAAGAACGTGATTTGGAGAAAATTCCTCATCCACCTTATTCTCCCGATCTTGCTCCTTCAGACTACCATTTGTTTGGTAGCTTACAGAAGAATTTGGAAGAAACAGCTTTTGTAACACAGGAAGAGGTTAAAACTGACATTTGTGAGTTCTTTGAATCAAAGCCAAAAGAATTTTACAGTAATGGAATTAGTAAGCTTGTTAATAGATGGAAGAAAGAAATAGATAATCATGGAAAATACATTGTTGATTGAATCTGTAATTAAATGTAACATTTGGTCACTTGTTTTCTTTATTCAAAATTCGGACAGAACTTATGGGATGACCAGATATTTATCATTATTATTATTATTATTATTTCTTCGATTTCTGTCGTATACAAATTTTCCGTCCGGGTCCCAACAGGAGACCTAAGCTCAGAAATGACTTCATGACATTTTCCACCTCAAAAACCTAAGATCACATACATTTTACATAGATAAAGCTCTTCATAATATGTCAGCTGTAATTGTGAGTACATTTTTTTTGTATTTCTTTAAGTCATGGTCTACCAGGAATCCCTTCAACGAGCCTATCGGAATCTTTCCAATGAAACCGAGGGATCCAAATACAGCATCATTTGTGTATGTTAAGTTTATTGCTTTTTATCCTGTAGAGCTGGGTCTAAACTATGGTCCTTAGACTCTATAAGAGAATTGGTATTTAGTTGGCAGCATTTTTCTTAGTATATGCGATATTCCTAGGCGTTTTTCTGGGCAGCTTGTATATTAATGTTACTTAGGGCAGTGTTAGTAAAATTGTACATTCATTTATTATTATTATTATTATTATTATTAATATTAATATTTTCTTTGATTTCTGGCGTTTACACATTTCTTTCCGGGTCCCGCTCAGGGACCTAAGGTTAGAAATGGCATCATGACACTTTCCACTAACAAAAAAAAAAATTACATAGATAAAGCCCTTTGTAAAGTGTGGGCTGTACTTGTCAGAACAATGTTTTGTATCTCTTTGAGGCATGGACTTCAAGGAATCCCTTCAATTAATCTACTGGAATCTTTTCCAACCACTCCTAGGGCTCCAACTACAACAGGGATTGTTGATGTTACCATATGCCACATTATTATTATTATTATTATTATTATTTCCTTTGATTTCTCTTCTATACACATTTCTCTCCGGGTCCCAACAAGAGACGTAAGGTCAGAAATTGTTTCTTCTGCCATTTTCCGCTGATCATTTTTGTAAAAAGAAAAATAAAGATCACGCACATGTTACATAGATAAAGCCCTTCCTAATGTGTGAGCTGTACTTTTGAGTATAATTTTTAAAGCACGGGCTACCTGGAATCCTTTCAGATCGGTACCTTTTTCAATCAAGCCGTGACCTCCAAGTAATATTATCAATGTAGACAATAGCTTCTTTTTTTTGTTTTCTAGCTGATGTCACATTATTATTATTATTATTATTATTATTATTATTATGTCCTTTGATATATATTGTATATACATTACCTTCCGGATACTAACTAGAGACGTAAGGTTAAAAATTTAAGACATAGGCTACCTTTTCCAAACAATCGGAATACTCCAGCTATAACTAGAATTGTTCATATCCTCTGGTGGAACATTTTTAGATTTCCATTTCAAGGTCTTTGTGTTGCTATTATTATTATTATTATTATTATTATTATTATTATTATTTGTGTATGCTATGCTTTCTGCTTTGTATCCTGTAGAGCCGGGTCCAAACTATGGTCCTTAGGCCCTATAGGAGAATTGCTATTTAACTGATAGAAATTTTCTTAGTGTATTGGATCTTCATAATAGGGCAATCTTCTGGGCAACTTGTATGTTAATGCTACCTAGGAGACTGTTACTACAATTGTTCATCCCTTTTCTCACGAAGCCCAGTGCTCCGATTACTATTGGTACAGTCTCAGTCTTCATTCCCCGCATCATGTTAATCTCGATCTCCAGGTCCTTGTATTTGAACAATTTGTGCATGTTATGTTTCCTGCTTTGTATCCTGTAGAACCGGGTTCAAACTATGGTCCTTAGGGCCTATAAGAGAATTGTCGTTTAATTGATAGCACTTTTCTTAGTATATGTTCCAAGTAGGACGATTTTATGGGCAACTTTTATGTTGATGTTACCTGGGAGACTGTTACTAAAATTGTCCATTCCTTTTCTCACGGGGCCCAGTGCTCCAATTACTATTTGTACCCTCGATCTCCAGGCCCTTGTTCTGGACATTCTTCTTCTTCTTCTTCTTCTTCTTCTTCTTCTTCTTCTTCTTCTATAATACCACATCTTTCTATGAAATCCTAACTACCCGCACTCTTATGATGCTCGAGGGAGGCGCGGTGGAGTAATGGGTAGCAGCTCGGATTGATGAATAGGAGAGCCGAGTTCGAATTCCAGTCGAATCCATTGCATTCACTTACGTGCTAATACTCTTCTCCCCTCCCCCAGCTATCGTTAAATAGCAGGACAGATCGGGTTCTATAGCCTTGGATGGCAACTTGTCTACCTCAGAAAGAAATGGCAACCAACTGCGTCAGTCATATATCGAAAGATACATGATCGGCTAAGCACCTATCATAAATGACTGATCCCCGCAAAGTTCGGGTTAATGATAATCTATCCCGACATGGTGTAATGGTTAACAAGCTTGTCTTGCTAGAACAGTTACAACTGGGTAGTGAGTTCAATCCTCACTGGGTGCTCTATACATTAGGCCTTGTGGCATATCTAGGCTACGCTTGGAAAATCATTCTGAAGGAAAATACTGGAACACATGATTAGTGAAAAAATTGTTTAATAACGTGGATTAATATTACAATGGCGGCACACTTTGAGAAACGCGTTGCAACTACAGTGTGTTCAGATTGCAAGTGTTTCCGTAGTCAGTGAAAGAATCTGTCTTCAACATTTTAGTGTAATGAAGGTCAATAGTCTCTCTACACAACAATGGCGATAAGTAGAAAGAAAGAAAGAAAGAAAGAAAGAAAGAAAGATTGGGAAAATAAGAAAGACAAAAAGAAAGAAAGAAAGAGGTGGGGAAAAAAGAAAGAAAGAAAAAGAGTGATAAATATAATGCTGAAAGAAAGAAAGAAAGATAAAGTATGATGTTGGAAAGAAAGAAAGAAAGAAAGGTGTTAGAAAGAAAGAAATAAAGAAAGAAATAGAGAAAGAAAGAAAGATAAAGTATGATGTTGGAAGGAAAGAAAGAAAGAAAGAAAGAAAGAAAGAAAGAAAGAAAGAAAGAATGGAGTTACAAAAAAGAAAGAAAGAAAGAAAGAAATACATAAAGAAAGAAAGAAAAAGTATGATGTTGGAAAGAAAGAAAGAAAGAAAGAAAGAAAAAAGTATGATGTTGGAAAGAAAGAAAGAAAGAAAGAAAGAAAGAAAGAGTATGATGTTGGAAAAAAAGAAAGAAAGAAAGAATGGTGATCGAAAAAAAGAAAGAAAGAAAGAAAGAAAGAATAAAGTATGGTGTTGGAAAGAAAGAAAGAAAGAAAGAAAGAAAGAATGGTGTTAGAAAGAAAGAAAGAAAGAAAGAAAGAAAGAAAGAAAGAAAGAAAGAAAAAATAGTGCTAGAAAGAAAGAAAGAAAGAAAGAAAGAAAGATAATCTATGATGTTGGAAAGAAGGAAAGAAGGAAAGAAGAAAGAAAGATAAAGTATGAAATTGGAAAGAAAGAAAGAAAGAAAGAATGGTGTTGCAAAGAAAGAATGGTGTTAGAAAGAAAGAAAGAAAGAAAGAAAGAAAGAAAGAAAGAATGGTGTTGGAAAGAAAAAAAAAGAAAAAAGAAAGGTAATGTATGGCTGGCTTAAGCAAGGGGATAGCAGAACGTGGTCTCGGGGAGGTGGCAGAGGGACGAAACTTATTTAAAGCTACAAAAGATAAGGGGAAGTGGAGAGCCATGTCCGCCTACGTCCTGAAAGGACACGGCACATTAAATGATATATAACAATATTCTTTTTTACTTTTCTCGCATTTTCTTTCGAAAAATTGTATTTCATTCCACTCTGCGCATTTATTTAATTCTAACCATATTTTTTTAAATCCTTCACCTTTTGGAAAATGGCGTCAGCAAAAAAATATCCGATTCTTATCGCTATTTCAAAGTAATTCGACTGGCAGAATGAGAGAACGAAAGAACGTGAGAATATCAGAATGGGAGAAAATTGAAGGCCGAATGACAGACGTAATTGTCGTATTCTTGTATACAAACGAAAACGCTAGGAACAGAAATCGAATGAAGTCACAAATACAGAGAGAGGAGATAGAAATTGAAAAAAAGAAGAAGAAGAGAAGGCGTAAAACAAAGGGGGAGAGGAATTGCGTTATAACATGGGAGGTGGTCTGTTCGTTCAGTTGACAAACGTAAATGATGTATTCTGAGAGACTAATAAATAAGCGAAAAAAATGGTAGTAGAGAAAAAAATAGAAAAAGAAACTAAAAGAAATAAAAGGAAAAAAGGAAAAATAAGAAAAAGGAGAAAGCAGAAGGAAAAAGAAGAAAGAGAAATAAAGAAAAAATCGCAGAAGAGAGAGAAAAGAAGAGAGAAATATGACGGACAAGAGAGAAAGTTAATAAATGAAACTGAAAGAAAGAAGACGAAGAAAAAAGAGAGAGAGAGAGAGAAAGAAAAAATGAAGAAAGTGGCAGTGAATGAAAAAGGATGAAGAAATAAAAGAGACAGTGAAAGAAAAAAATGAAGAAAATGAGTGAGTGACAGAAAAAGATGAGAGAGTGAGAGAAAAAGGATGAAGAAAATGAGGGTGAATGAAAAACATGAAGAAAATTAGGATGAATGAAAAGAGATGAAAAAAATCAAGTGAATGAAAATCAGGGTGAATGAAAAACGTGAAGAAAATGAAGAAAGTTAGGGTGAATGATAAAAGATGAAGAAAATGAGGGTGAATGAAAAAGATGAAGAAAATTAAGGTGAATGAAAAAGATGAAGAATTATGAGGGTAAATGAAAAGAGATGAAGAAAATTAAGGCGAATGAAAAAGGAGAAATTCGGATGAATGAAAAAAGATGAAGAAAATGACGGTGAATGAAAAAAGATGAAGAAAATGACGGTGAATGAAAAAAGATGAAGAAAATTATGGTCAATGAAAAAAGATGGAGCAAATGAGGGTGAATGAAAAAAGATGAAGAAAATGTGATCTAGAAGAAAGAGTTAGAGATGAAAAATAAAAGGGAAGAAGAAGTAAGAAAGAATGTCGCAAATGATGGAGGGGTGGGAAATTAGGAGTAGGGGTCGCGTGTGTGGGCGAAATTGTTTAAAGCTGAGATCGCATGAATATTTCTCGTCAACATAATTGAAGAAAAACAAGCTTCGAAATTGGAAGGAAAATTTCTTCTGGCGTAAAACGAACAATTTATTCATTTCATCACTGATCTGTTTTGGTTTGTGTAATAGGAAAGGGTTTTTCATTATTGTATTCTTTAAAAAAAACAAAAACAATTGCAGACAAATAATAACGCGTAAATATCAAAGGAACGCTCAAATAAACGATAAAAGAAAAATAACTAACACAGGCATGTTTTAAAACGCACAATATCAAACACAATACTCATGACATAAATCAAAAAAATAAATAAATAAATAATAATAATTATAATAATAATAATAATAATAATAATAATAATAATAATAATAATAATAATGGAAACCCCAGCTTAAGAGACATACAGAAAATTGTCTTATTAAGTACAGCACACACACTAAGGAGAACTTTGTCTATGTAACGCTAGCAACTTCATCGGAGATAAAAAAAAAAAAAAAAAAAATTAACATGAAATGTGGCCATAACAACACACCACGACCTGCCTTAGGTCTTTCCGCAGACTTGGTAGGTAGTGTGTCCATAGCAGAAATCGAATGATGATGATAATAATAATAATAATAAGTGCAGAGTTGAAAGCTGAAACTGAAGGTTTTATCCTTGCAACACAAGACCAATGCTTGTTAACTGGAAATTATCAAGCACACATACTAAAATATTGTGTTAGCCAAAAATGCAGGTTCTGTGATAAATATCCAGAAACAATTGATCATCTTGTATCAGCTTCCGTGCTACCCAATGAATATAAAACACGATATGAGAGAGTGAGCCAATATCTGCAATGGAAAACCTGCAAATTCTACGGAAAGGAACCTGAAACAAAATGGTATGAACACTACTCAGACCCGGTTACGGAGATACATACTGAAAAACAATTTTATGGGACTACACAAGACACACAGACAGAAAAATCAAAGCCAATCGCCCAGAAATTGTTATTAGAGACTGCAAACAAAAAAAAAGTTCTTTATTGATATGGGAGTCTGTTGAAGCTTAAATAAGCATGGAATAATACAACACAAAATGTACGTTAACAAAATGTATTGAAACAAAGAATAGGTACACAATATTTACAGTTAGTTTGGTATATTCTTGGGAAGACTGTTCCTGCATAATGGGTTGACTAAATCGCAGTCGGGCAGAGTCTCTGGATTCAATTTCTTAATCTCTCCTATCTTCCCCGTCTTCCGGTACCAACCCATATTTATATGGTCGGTAGTCCGCTTATGTAAATTAGGTGTATCATACACAACAGAGTCCTTGCAGATAGCAATGTATCTTTGAAGATCTCCAAAAAAACAACTATCAAAATACAAGGACCTTGAAATCGAAATCTCAAAAATGTAACACGTGAGAAGATCAACATTCCTCGGATAGGTTAGAAAATATTCCAGTAAACTCATTGAAGGGATTCCTGGAAGCCCATGCCTAAAACAAATACAAAAGATCGTACTCACAATTACAGCCCCCCATTACGAAGATCTTTATGTAAAATATGTGTGCGTGTGTGTGTATTTTTTAATTGGTCAGTTGTTAATATCATGATGCCATTTCTGACATTAAATCTCTGGGCAGAACCCGGAAAGAAATATGTACACACCAGACATCAAAGGAAATAATAATAATAAGAAGAAGAAGAAGAAGAAGAAGAAGAAGAAGTCATAAAGCACTTACTGCAGGGACAAAGTGCCTGAAAGGAAAGAAAAAGTAAATGCAATTTACTAAATGCAAAAAAGATGACTAGATAAACCTCTTCATGTTCAAGACTCTGCCCCTACCAAACAAGCAGACATAAATAAATCCGGTACCCATCAGTGGTCACGTAGTTTCAAGTTTTATTCTTGCTGCACAGGACCAATGCTTGGTAACTAGAGATTACCAAACACACAATTGTGTTAACATAAAATACAGATATATCCAAAATCAATCTACTATCTTGTATCAGGTTACACGGTGTAAACACCTACTGAATATAAAACGCAGCTTGATAGAGTTTGACAATATCTGTACTGGAAAATATGCAACTTTTACGGGAAAGAAACCGCAGGAACCTGACATGAACATCACCCAAACCCGTTACAGAGATTGGACCCGTAACAGTTTTATGGAACTTTACAATACGAAAAAAAAATGTCCCCAGAAGACGGGCTCAGACATTACAAAGAGCTTTATTTATGTAAAATGTGTGTGATCCTAGAGATTTTTTTTATTTGCAAAAATGATCAATGGAAAACATCAAGAAGCCATTTCTAACCTTAGGTCTCTAGTTGAGACCTGGAAAGAAATGTCTATACAACAGAAATCAAGAGAGAAAAAAATGATATTAATTTCTTGTATTTCTTTAAGGCGTGCGTTACAAAGAATCCCTTAAATTATTCTATCGGAACCTTAAAAAAGATAAGCCTCTTCATAGTCAATACTCTGTCCCTACCAAAGAAGCTGATGTAAGCAAACCATATTCCCATAAGTGGTCACGTAGTTTCAGGTTTTATTCTTGCTGCACAAGACCAATGCTTGTTAACGAGAAATTACCAAACACACAATTGTGTTAACATAAAATGCAGATATATCCAAAATCAATCGATTATCTTGTATCAGGTTACACGGTGTTAGCACCCACTGAATATAAAGCATGGCATGATAAAGTGGGCCAATATCTGCACTGGAAAATATGCAACTTTTAGGAGAAGTAAACTGCAAGAAACTTGTATGAACATCACCTACATCCATGACGAAGATTGGACCTGTAGCAGTTTTATGGAACATTACAATACAAACATGTACTCAGAAGTCGAGCTCAGGCATTACAAAGAATTTTATTTATGTTAAATGTGTGTGATAATTTTTTTGTATTTTGTATTTCTTTAAGGCATGGGTTACCAGCGATTCCTTCAATGAGTCTATCGGAACCTTAAAAAGAAGATAAGCATCTTAATGGTCAATACCCTCTCAGTATCAAACAAGCTGATGTAAACAAACCCCATACCCATCAGGGGTCACGTAGTATAAGTTTCTTTTCTTGCTTCACAGGACCAATGCTTCCTAACTACAAATTACGAAGCACACATACTGAAAAATTGTGTTAACCCAAAATGCAGATTCTGTGATAAATATCCAGAAACAATTGACCATCTTGTATCAGGTTGCATGGTGTTAGCGCCCACTGATTATAAAACACAGCACAACTGAGTAGGCCAATATCTGCACTGGAAAATCTGCAACATTTACGGAAAGGAAACGGCAAGAAATTGGTATGAACATCACCCAGACCCGTTTATGGAGATAGGACCTGTAACAAAGATTAGTTCAAATAGAACTGTTTTACAAAACTGCAGCAATTGGCCTTCAAAGGTACCTGGAAGCTACCGAAGACTGGTTGGTGATTTGTGTCAATAACATGAAAGGTGGAATTAATATTTATTGAGTAATAAAGGAAGCCAACAAATTTAGAAGCGAATTTCAAGTGGGGTGAATAAATACAAGTAAAGCATAATAGACTTAAAAAATAAAAAACGTTAGAAAAGGAGTCAAAGGCAAATGCAATGGACCACATACAGAAACGGTCAATATTCTGCCGGTATGAAACAAGCTGATGTAGACGAACCCCGGACCCATCAGTGCCTACGTAATGCAGGGTTAAAAGCTGAAACTGAAGGTTTTATTCTGTGATAAATATCCAGAAATAACTGAGCGTCTTGTATCAGGTTGCACGGTGTTTAGCACACACTGAATATATAATTTGGCATGATAGATTGGGCTAATATCTGCACTGGAAAATATACAACTTTTACGCGAAGGAAACGGCAAAAAACTGGTATGAACATCGCCCAGACCCGGTTAAAAAGAGAGGACTTGTAACAGTTTTATATTACTTTAAACTGGATGCAGACAGAACAAAGTTAAACGATGACAAGATAAGCCTCTTTATAGTCTATACTCTGTCCGTACCAGACAACTGATGTAGACAAAACCCCTTACCCATCAGTGGTTACATAGTGCAGGCTTAAATGCTGAAAGTGAAGGATTGGTGTTTGTTGCACAAGACCAATGCTTGCTAACTAAAAATTACCAATCACACGCACTAAAAAATAGTGTGAACCCAAAATGCATAGGTGACATTAAGCGAATGAACGTCAAAACGAGAACGATTCTCACTTGCTACCGCATGCATTACCCAAAGGCTGATGTCGATTGTCTGTATATACCCAGGTCCGGAGGAGGCAGAGGATTAGTTCAACTAGAAATGTTTTACAAAACTACAGCAATCGGCCTTCAAAGATAGCTGAAAGCTATCGAAGACTGGTTGGGGATTTGTGTCAATAACATGAAAGGTGTAATTAATATTTATTCAGTAATAAAAGAAGCCAACAAATTTAGAAGCGAATTTCACATGGGGGGGGGTGAATAAATACAAGTAAAGCATAATACACTTACAAAAC